ACTCAATCAGGAGAACCATGGTTTTCGAGCGGTTTACTCTTATCAGATGACTATCTTTTTTAAAATCTAATAAAAACCCAACAACTAAAAATATGGGAATTTCACACGTAATGAATATTCAGCAAATGTTCGAATGATCTAAGTCACTCAACAGATAAAGAGTAAATTGCAGTGTGTGAATATTGTGAAAAAGTTTTCTCTTGACTTGTATATAGTCTCTGTTAGAATGTTAGCGTCATCCCATACAATAAAGAGTATGTCTTGATAGTCAAAATTTTCTAAAGTACTTTTCGATCTTTCTATGGGCAATCGTTCGTGTGTATTTACTTGGAATTAAATTGGTTCTATGGAGATGAATCCAAAAGTTCGATGAAGAGCATATGTACATGCCAAGAAGTTGACAACTCGAAGTTGAAACGATGTCTAGAATGAAAAATTTTATTATGAGGCTAACGATTAGAAACAGTTTGTCTGTACGACGACATTATGTAGTTTCAGATTCTGCGAAGATGATCAAAATATATTATATGGTGATGATCTTGTTTCGCAATAATTGCTTGTGAAAGTTGTTCTGATGTACATGCTTTATTTTGTTTTTATATATAAAAAAAGAATGAACTAAGGTTTGCGAAGTTTTTATAATTAATATCAACTCTGATTCCAGAAAGAAGCGATTCACTTGGAATTCGGAGTTTCATGAAGAGTTCTGCTAATATCAATAATCAGTTTTGTTGATGACACGTCTCCAAACGTGGAAACTTGTCCTCCAATGTTGACTGTTCTGAGTCCGTATTGATTCAAAATAGTATCTATCTATCGGCTGACAAAATGAAGAATTAATCGTTATTTTCCGATTTCAATTATTTTTTTGCCTATAGGCACTAAATAATGTTTTAATAAAAATCTAAATCTCTCTACGGTTTTTATTAGAACACTATGTAGTATCTATAAGGAAAAAGTTATTGAAATCAGAAGTGAACATCTGAAGAAGTTTTTACATAAGCAACATTGCTTTATGTCTTATATTTCAATATAGGGAATTAGTTTTATTCGTTGTATTAAACCTAATCTGAAAATGGTGCCAAATTTATTCGAAGGTGGTCAAATTTTAAGTCAATTGCAATGTAGCGGTATGCAAAAAAGAAAATCCTTATTTGATTAAAAATCTTTGTTCTATTTTTTTTTACTGATTAGGTATGGTATCAGTATTAGCTTTAATGCAACAAGGTTTTCCATCACGTACACAATTTGCTGAATTATATTCAATGTATAAATCCTATTTACCAGTTGAATTAGCTCGACTTGAACCACGTCTTTTTTGTAAAGCTTTATTTAAAGCATTAAATCTTCGTGATGCAGATTTTAAATTTGGTATAACGAAAGTATTTTTTCGTCCGGGAAAATTTGCTGAATTTGATCAACTTATGAAATCTGATCCACAAAATTTAGCTATGTTAATATCAAAAGTTAAAAAATGGCTAATATGGACACGATGGAAAACAGCACAATGGTGTGCTTTATCAGTTATTAAACGTAAATTTTACAAAAAAAAAAAAAAACTAGCCGAAATTATTCAATTAGTTTAATCGATTGATTTTAGTTAAAAATAAAATTCTTTATCGACGTAAATGTTTAATTGATATTCAACGACATGTTCGTATGTTCTTAGTTTATAGGCGTTATGCACCAAGGTAAGAATTATAAAATATGTTAAATATGTTTATAAAGTTCTCTTTCATAGAATTCGAGGCTTAGTTAAATCTAAAGCATTACATGAACAAGTTGCTTCCATGGAAAAAATTGCTGCTCAAATGAAAGCAAACAAAGAACAAATATATAAACAAATACATCAATTAAAAGAACGTGTTGATCAATTAATCCATCAAATTTCAGTAAGATTTATGAAATAAAAACTAAAAGAAATACATGTAATAGAATTCAAAAATGGATAATCATATAGCTATTTTCATTGTTAATGAAAATTTCTTACGTATATTAAATGTCATATTGTGAGAAAAAAACATTACAGGGAAATCTTTCTATGTAAATACTTTATACTAGACAATCTATCGAACGGTCAAGCAAAAAATTGCTAAGAAAAAGTTTTTCAAAGATGAACACTTACTAATTTTGAGTCAATCGGTACTTATTTTTAGTTCCATGAGCAATAACAATCTCTGTAGTGTACGCAACATACGTTCTATTATTCACATAGAGAACGAGGAAGAAAATAATGTTATTATAAACATGAATATTAAAGAGTTAGACTCAACATTAAAATAAAAACATATATAATCAGCAATCTTTATACCTTGTATGAAATAGATTGTGTTATCTATTTATTTTTCGTCATGAAGACGGTCAATTTAACTTGCGAGAAAATCTGTCCAGATGTCGAATTTCCTTTTTTTGATCGAGACAATGTTAATTTGATGAGTGCTAGTGAGTGTTAGAAAAATTTAGTATGATTCGGTTTCGTCGAAGTTTTGTTTTCGAAATATTGAAATTCTATTAGGCCTTTCAACCAAAAGCTATGATTCTCCATAGATCACGTGAAGAATTGACTTTCGAATTTCTTGAGTAGGACCTCAGCTTAAATCCAGAAAAATTTTCGATATTGGAAGAATGAATGTTTGGATAACCAAACGATTGTAGACTTTTCTATTACTTGCTAGTACTCATCAAATAAATATCGTCTTGGTCGAAAAGTAATTTGACATCTGGAATGATTGATAGACTCACTGCCTTTTGCTTGATTGCATAAGATGCTGCAATTTTTTCGATTAGAACCTAGACAATATACATTGGTCATAGTAATAATGTCCTTATTAAGTACCTCCTATTATCAAAACTTTTACATAGCTTAAAGAGCGAGATATAATCCTCTACAAGTTGAACTAAAAATGAAAAGTCTCGCAGCAATACTTTAGAATTCATTTTTTTCGAAACTTATTCTTTTTCTTTTTTACATTCTATGTAGAATACTCATATGACGGCAACACAAATTGATGATGCATATAATGATCTTGTTTCTTCTATTGATCGTGAATTGCGTCGATTAAAACAAGCACTTGCCGAACAAGAAATGAAAGATGAACAAGAACGTTTAAAAAGGATTCAAGTAAAAACTTTGACATGTCTATATTCGATAACAAAAATAGAAAATGAAATGCATATTAATTAATATTTAGAGTGGACTTGAACATGAAAAACATAAAAAACTTGATGAAGATAAACGTTCTGAACAAGAAAAAGAAGAATTTCGACAGTAAAAATTTAATAAGGGTGTAAGTTTTCGTTATATTTCTTTGTTTTGTTACTTATAGACGTTCAGCTATTGCGCAACGGCAAAGGGAAGAAGAACAATTGAAGCGTGGACTAACTGCTGAAGAAGCTCGACGTCAAGTACGAAAAAAAAAAAAATTTTGATTTATAAAAATTAGTAATAATCGTTTTTTTTTTTTTTTGTATTTCAGAAAGAACGTCAAGAAGAAGAATCTGCTGCAGAAGCTTTTTTTGCAGAAATGAATGAACGTGAACGTCGTGATTATGATTTAGCACGACGTCTTGCTTTAGAAACTGGTAGTGAAGCTGAGTTACCGCATTTACAAAGATCACATCGTCCACCTTTTAATCCAAAATATGATTTAAGTAAACATACATATGCACAATTACGTGATCTTATTAATACATCTTGTGGTAAAAATTTTCCACATAAAATTTTAATTTAATTTATTTATCAATATTTTTAGATATTGAATTACTTGATGCATGTCGTGAAGAATTTCATCGACGTTTAAAAGTTTATCATGCATGGAAATTAAAAAATCGAAAAGGAAAAAATCCATCAGCTGTCGATAATAAAAATGATGATATGGATCAAGAACGAGCACCAAAAGATATTCTTAATAATGGTAAAATATTCAATGATAATTCACAGAAGATTTAATCTATTGAACTATATGTTCGATTTCGATTAGAAAATTTCATAAGAAGTATAAATGTACGACACGACTGTATTCGAAAATTTTCGACTTAACAATCTCTAGTGTTTTTCTCATATAAAAAATTCTATTTGAAAATTTATCGGTTGTAGATAACGGTGTGGTATTTTTTTTTTTTAATCAATTGTTGAAAATCTAATATTTTATTATGAGTAAAAATATTTTCATTGATAGATGGAGTGCCCAAAAGAAGTGGACAAGTGGCAGCAGCAAGTGCAAATTCTAAAACCGGTGGTAGTGGTAAAGCGTCTGAACAACGTTATTTTCGTATTCCATTTATTCGTCCTAATGAACAAAATCGTGATAGTAGTGAACATAAAAAGAAAGGCTGGTGGTATGCTCATTTCGATGGTAAAATACAATAGAATTTATATTTTGTATTTATTTAACATAAACTCTATTTAGATAAATGGATTGCTCGTCAAATGGAAATTCATCCAAATAAAAAACCAGTTTTACTTGTTGCAGGTTATTTGATTTTATGGATTTGTTTTTTAATATATATATATCAATCAAATAAATATTTGTTTTTATAGGTGTTGATGATATGAATATGTGTGAATTAAGTTTAGATGAAACGGGTTTAACGTCAAAAAAAGGTGCTGAAATACTTGAACATGATTTTGAACAAGAATGGCTTAAACATGGTGGTCGAGAATATTTAAAGAAAAACAAAGGACAAATCAGTTCAAAATATGTTATTCAATTACTTCAAAAACATCATTAAATAATATATTCGATTATATATGCAGTAGACATCGATTTTTATTTGTGCTAAAAATTAATTTTCTCTTTTAATGTCCGATTCTCATTGTGATGATCTTTCTTTTTGTTTTCTTTTTTTTATATTAATTCCAGAGAATGGAAAGAAAATCTCTTTCGGTTTCGTAGTTTCATTTTAATTTATTTAATCTTTTTAGTTCTATTTCATACAAATAAATTAACAAATTTATTTTATTTCAGATGTATTAATCTAGAAATAATCATAAAACAGCTATGGGTGGAATGAAATTTGAAGTTAGTAAAATTCTATCTATGTTAAATTGTTGTTTTGTTTTGATTTTTTTTTTAAATTTTCATTTATATTTATTTTTTTAAGTACGATGAAAGTGGAGGGAAGTTTTATTATTTTATTCTCTCTGTTTATGCATTAATTCTTATACCGGCGACATATTGGTTATGGCCTAAGGCAGAAAAAAGAAGTAAATATGAAAAAGAAACAATGAATTCTTTTTTGTTATGTATGGTATCATTTATAGAAAGTGCCCCACATCCTGAAGATACGTCTAATTTTACTCCATGTCGTCATAAACATCAATTATTACATGCAAATGAACCTAATCGAAGACGACGAGCAATAATAACGTAAGTAATCAATTCATATAGAATACGAAAACTTATTTTGAAATTTTTCTAATACTGATGGGATTAATATATTGTTACAAAGTTAGTGTACATTTTATTTACTACTAACTCGTATCTACTAAGTATAGGGAAGTAAGTTTTAATAGAAACATCTTAGAAATCTGCAGCTTTTATCATTCAAGAGAGAAGATTCAAGACCATCGACGGATAATGAACAGCGATTGGCTAACCAAATGAGTTCTTGTTGGAAATTTTCGAAAATATTCTTCTCTTTCAGTCAATACAAGACTACCACTCTTAGCTTGTTTCGTTCGAAAGTTAAAAGATATTTTTTATGATCTTCGGTTTCAACCAATTGATCTGTAGTTACTCGAAAAAGCAATTGGACATAAATAATTCACTATGTTGAGCTAAACGGTGAATTACTCCTGTCTAGTTACGTTTCGTGAAGACCATCTGTCGAATAGAACTAATTAGAAATATCGGCCTTGTGTAGATCGAAAGAAAACTAGCTTCAGAATATCGTTTTAGAAAATCTCTACTAAGACTTCACTTGATTACTGCTCATCAATCAAATTTCTATATACTTCTATGGCGTCGCGTTTTCTCTTGTGAATGGTAAAAATTACAGATCTCTATAATATTCTTTTCTAAATATTCATGCTGTCTTTTTTGTCGAGTTCTATCGTTTCGATACACATGACTTCCTTGTCTTTTTTTTTCATGAGGACAGTTTTCTCCTTTCATTCATTTATGATCATAATATTAGTAAATAAAAATACTGAACAGGTCACGACAGGTACTGTCAAACTGAAAATGTATATTGATAGACTAGATCTACTTTTCAATAGCGTGTTTTAAACTTCTGATTTACATATTCTTTTTGACGAATAATTATATATATAAAATTATTGTTCTATTTCTATTATAGTAAAATTGGTTTAATCTTAGCATGGATTATTTTATTAGTACTTGCGTATCGTGTATCATTAATTGAAATCGAACATAAAGAATATGATCCATTTGCAGTATTGGATGTTGATCGAGTATGTACTTGTTTTTAATTCATGTTGATAGTGAATAAATAAAAACCAATTTATTTTAGGAAGCAACAATCAGTGAAATAAAACGAGCCTATCGTGATTTAAGTAAAAAACATCATCCAGATCGTGGTGGAGATCCAGAAAAATTTGTAAGTCAAACTAACAAATGAAATATAAAGAATCGGACTAAATGTAAATGTAATTTTTCCGTGTATCTAAAGAGGCTCCGATCCTGATAAAAAAAAATTGGTCTCATTCTCGCTGCGACTAACCCGCCCATATCTCGAACATTCAATTTACCTCTGTTTGTTGGTTGCTTAGAAATTCTTCGTCCGTTGATCGATATAAGTGATTATTTTATATGAATAGTAAATGATTTAAAAGTTCATTTATAATTCGTCCGATTCATTATGATCTACTGATTATTAAGAATAAATTATGAAGGGAAAAAAAGAAAATAAATCGTTTTTGTTTTTAGAAAGAAATAGCTAAAGCATATAAAACATTAACTGATGAAGAAGCAAAAGAAAATTGGAAAAAATATGGAAATCCTGATGGACCAGGAGGTTTGTTTTATTGTTTTTAATAAATTATTATTTATGAAATATTTCTTAAATATTTAGTAACACATTTTGGTATTGCTTTACCAAAATGGTTAGTTGATCATCAAAATTCTATATTTGTTCTTTTGGTTTATGCTGGTATATTTATGATTGTTCTTCCTGTTATTGTTGTATGTTAATAATAATAAGAAAGAAAAAATTTTCTCATTAATTATTATTTTGTAATTTTAATTTAAAGTGTATTTGGTGGCAAAAATCTGCTCGTTATTCAGGTGATCAAATATTAACTGATACAATTCAACTTTATTGGATATTTTTAAGTAAAACATCATCAATAATTATTAAACGTAAGTTAATCGAATTGCAATAGTTGAATGAAATTTCAATGTACCCATGTTCAAATCTATCTAACGGTATACAATGATGATTTCGTTTTCATTATATCTGTCAATCCTCTGAACAAGAAAAAAAAAATTCTTTTGATGTATATGAAACTCTGAGTATACCGCAAAATGAAATATTTATTGAAATAATAAAAAAGAAATAAGTCGTATTGAATTGATCTTGTTTTTTATTTTTCAAGGTGCAATTATGATTCTTAGTGCATCAAGAGAATTTGATCGAAATCGTAATCCACTTATTGTTGATCGATTAAGTGATAATGTTGAATTACCAAAAGTTTGTATTACTTGTTTAAAGATGATCAATATGTAGAATTAATTTATTATTTAGTTATTTCGAGAATTACCTGATGTACAAGAAAAAACAAAAGAAAGACCATTTCAATTACCATATTGTTTAAAAGCACGTACACTTCTTCATGCACATCTTCAACGACTTAATACATTAAGTGATAATCTTGAAAGTGGTATGTGTAACTTTCATTGAAAGTATTTTTTTTGTTAGTTTCTTTTTTCAAATTATTAGATAAACGATATATTGTTAAAAAATCACCATATTTAATTAATGAAATGATTAATATTGAAGCTCAACTTGTTGCTATGGGACATGCTGGAAGATGTAAGAAGTTTTTGATTTGAAAAGAAAAATATTTTTTTTTTAATTTTAAGTGAGAAATGCTCCACGTCTTGATACAATTGAAAATACAATGAAATTATCACCAATGATTATACAAGCATTATGGCATACGAAAAGTCCTTTACTTCAATTGCCACATATTACTGAAAGTCAATTAAGATTTTTCGAAACAAAAAAAGTATGAAAATAAAGATGTATGAGTCTATATGAAAGAGAAAATTGGAACTACGAGAAAAAAAATTGCCTCAACTAAAACTAAAAAATATAGTAAAAGATTCGATGATTTAATAAATCATATGAAAGAGACTAACATTCAAGCGAAATGATCCAAAAAAGTGCTGTTCGTTAACTAAATCAAGAAACGAATATGGAGAATTTTTTTTTAGATGTAACACAAATAAATTTTGCAATAATTTTCCATAGACCGAGACTGGTGAGAAATCCTATGAAGATATGTAGGACGAGGTAAAAGTTAGAAAATTTTTCTTACGAGAGAACCTCTCCAAGTGTTAATCGCCGAACGAGCTCATATTTTGCTCATAAGTAAGACTTAATGAGACTAGCAGTAGCTTGAAAGGATTCGTTCCCATACGCTGTTATTTTGGAGTTACAACCGTTCTACTGGTTTTTCGACCTTTGGCAATGGCATTTTTAGAAAAGGCCAACAATGGAATTTTGACCTGAAATTTTGTCCATAAACAGGTCTCATGGTCATTAGAATGTCTTAAAAGTTTCAGCTAAAATGAACGTTTCTTTCTCCAAATATTGAATTTTCAAAGAACGATCATATTTCAAAGGCAAAGGTCAAAAATCGAGCTTCTTGGAAACTCAATATTTGGAGAAAGAAACGTTCATTTTAGCTGAAACTTTTAAGACATTCTAGTGACCATGAGACCTGTTTATGGACAAAATTTCAGGTCAAAATTCCATTGTTGGCCTTTCCTATAAATGCCAGTGCCAGAGGTCGAAAAACCAGTAAAACGGTTGTAACTCCGAAAGGATAGCGTATGGGTAAGAATCCTTCGGAGCTTCTGCTAGTCTCATCGAGTCTTACTTATGAGCAAAATATGAGCTCGATCGGCGATTAATACTTGGAGAGGTTCCCTCATTAGACAGATTGCTAAAAGAAAGTTTGTCCCACACATTTATACTATCCTGACAATAAATAAAACTAATTGTTGTTTTTATTTCATGCTTTGATTAAGCAGTAGTGCTACTTGGATTAAATTTTAAATAAATTCTAAAGATATGATGTAGACTATAGATTAATAAATCCTAGGCGAAAAAAAACAATAGACTTCATGTTATCTCTCTTAATTAGGTTAGATGTATTTAATGAATCAATTAAGTCGCAATTACTTTCGAAATATTCAATTTTTATTATGGAATAGATTTAAGTGTGTATGAAGAACCCAAGAACTCCGCCTTAGCCAGGCCATATATCCATCCTATTGTTTATTATAAACATGAAATTTTTGTTTTTTTTTTGTTCCAGCGAACAATTAAATCAGTACGACAATTTGCAGCTATGAATGATGAAGAACGTCGTTCTATGTTACGTAGTATTACAGATGAACAGTATGATGATATCATGAATGTTCTTTCTATTTATCCGCATTTAACAATGAGTGTATCATGTGGAGGTATTCATTTTATTCAAGATGAAATATACAACATTCCTATTCGTAATTTTTTTTTGTTGTTATTATCTAGTATTCGACGATGAAGATGAGCATATAATAACAACAGGAGCCGTTGTGACCTTAACAATACATTTAAAACGTGAAAATATGTCAAATGTATTTAATAAAGAAATTGGATCGAATGCATCAGCTGCAATAAATAATCTTGATTATGAAGCCAATGAAGAACAAGCAGATGAAAAAGAAAATCGAGAGAAGGTTAAAATTTAAAAATGAGTACATAGTTTTTTTTTTTTATTAATTAAGATCATTTGATAGACTAATGATACATCGAAAACAGCAACATCAGCGAATACATCAAAAGGTTGGAATAATAAATCGGATAAGAAAAAAAAATCAAAAAAGAAAGGACAACCAACATCATCGAAATCGAACAATAAACAATCAACAACAATTACTACTAGCAATAAAAATCAAACAAAAGCAACAGAAAAAGATTCAAGTGGTTCGTATCCTTTCTTTTTCTTCCGTTTATTATTAACTTAACAAATTTTTTTATTATGTAGATGATGATTCATCGAAACATTCTGATGGTAAATTGGAAACAATCAAAAAACAAAATATACTTCGAAAAATATAATTATTATTATTTTTTTTTTTTTTTTGTTCTTAGATTCTCCATCGACATTACGTCAACGTCATGAAGTATCCAAAGAAGAAATGAATAATAGTGAAAATGAAAATAATGATGAAGAAAATGTTTCAACTACAATAAAAAAATCACGAAAAAATTCCGATAATGATGAAGATACATTTCTTGAACGATTTCAACAACAACAACGTAAACGTGAAACATTAGAAACAAAAGCTAAAATTAGTCATCGAGTTTTTTGTCCATTTTTTCCGGAAGTATGTTTTTATAGAACACATCCTTCAAAAAAACTTTAATTTTTTCTTTTTTCAAATTTCATTTTAGATTAAACAAGAATGTTGGTGGTTATATGTTGCTGATAAAAAACATTATTCATTAATAAGTGCACCAGTTTATTTATGCACATTAAAAGATAAAGAAGAAGTTGAAATTAAATTTTCTGCACCAAAAATACCAGGTCATTATGTTTATTCCGTTATATTAAGATCTGATTCATATTTTGATGTTGATGTTATGGAAAATCTTGCTGTAAGTTTTTGTTTTTTAATTTAAAAAAAATGAAATTAATGCTTATTATTATATTAAAATATTTTAGTTTGATGTACAAGCTGCTAAAGAAATGGTTGATAATCATCCTCAATGGGATTTTAGTGATGAAGAAGGAACAACAAATAATAAAGCTAATGATGAAGAATTTGCCACCGAAAGTGACAGTGATGATGAATAAATTTTTTATCGCTGTTGTTGTTGTTGTTATTCATATTCTCATTTATTATTTATATTATCTATTTATTCCATTGAAAAAAAGAATTTTTTTTTTTTCAAAGTGAAAAATAAATATCTAACATTGTCGTGCAATCATTATTATTAATAATGTAAGGGCATATCGTTATTACTATTATTATTATGATTAGAACATTTTCGAAAGATGAAGACGAGCATCTAGTATATAATATATGTATTACATCTAGAAGGTTGAGAAGAATAAAAAAAAAAGGCGAAAAACATTAAGATTCCTTTTTTTCTTGCACTCGTGCGTGCATAGATTACATATGAAATTTGCGTTATATGGCTCTTAACAAACGAAAAATAAACTTATTGATGTTAAAGAATATTGTTCAAAAATAAAACTAATGTTTTTATTCATTCTTTTCTAAATCATCTTTTTTTTTTATTTTCTCCACTTTTTTTGTATCTCTGGACATATGCAATTCTCTTTCCTTCATTCAAAATATTATCAATTATATTTAAACGTGCTATGATTATCATTTCATAAAAATAAAAAAAACATCATGCACATATACATTCAAGTAACTTTCTTTTTCTTTACTTGCTAAGATACAAGGCAAGTTATATAAAGAGTAACAATAGCAATATATATTTGACATGGTTTGAATATCAAAATGTATGCATCGAATGGCATTATATCGTTTAACAAATATATGTACATTATATTATATTGTGTTTCTGAAAAGTAAAAAAAAAAAGAAAAGAAAAGAATGATAGTGATTTCTAACTAAATCTATTTCATTTTATGATTCTGTTGATGAAGACAAAAGAAAAGGGCAAAATAAAAATCTACGATTACCATTATCATTATAACGTGTCTCGTTTGAAAAGGGTATCATTCTTGTGCATACCTGCATAGATGGAAAGTCATTTATGATCTTTATCGCCAACATTTCTTTTTATTTTTTCGTATTTTTTTATTTCGAGTTTTGATCATCATTTCATGTTGGTTTATGCAACATATGAAGTTCTTTCTTAGAATAGACAACAATTGTATTTTAATATTCGATTTTTACTTCATTTATTTTAGGCTTGATTTTCAAATTAATATTCAAAATATACAACTATATATTCAACAATTATTCTTTTTTTTAATGTTCATTGCCATATAATATATTAAAATATGTTTCAAAATAAATATAGCATCTATTTTATTATAATATTAGGTTTACTTATTCATAAATATTATTGTAAAGAACAAGTATACACACATAAAGAATCTAAACAATTACGTTTTCATGTTGCTTATTTTAATTTTGAACATGTATCAGATGTTTATGCTATTACATTATGGATTTTACTTGGTTCACTTGCTAAAGTTGGTATGTATGATTAAATTATTTTAAAGTAAATTTTATTATGAAATATTTTTCTTAGGCTTTCATTTGTCACATCGTTTAACAGAAAAATTTCCTGAAAGTTGTCTTTTAATTATTCTTGGTCTTATTGTTGGTGCTTTACTATATGTTACACACTTAGCAGAACAAAAAGCTTATGTACTCAATAGTGATACATTCTTTTTATTTCTTTTACCAGTAAGAAGCAAAAACAAAAAAAAACCTCATATTAATTTTCAATGAAAATTCTATAAGTATTATACATGTTGTTAATAATCATGATTATATGTTAATCTATAAATGTGTTTTTTTTTATTAAGTAGTGTTTCAGAGAGTACAAAAAAAAAAAATCTTCGAAACAAGGTTATAAATCAATTTAGATAAGATATGAGACATGTGCAAGTTTACTTCGTAGTATAAAATTAAGAAAAAAATTATATTGATTTGTGATTAAGTGAGTCACTAACATCTGTAATAAGCAATTTTTGTTTTCAAATATCAATCATGAAAATATTAAAATAAACAAAAAACAAATCTAGGATTATTGTTCGATCAGATTCGAAATATTCGAACCAGTTTAGATGGTTAGCATGAGCTATTAGAAAGAAGATTTTTCATTATATATGCAACTAGCAACACTTGTGACAAATCGATTACAATTCAAAAATATGAAAATGTATGGATAACACTATAGATAAATAATTTCAAGCTTTTTCATTCCTGACTAAAATACCAGATGGTTATAAATTGAAAAATTTCTGTTTTATTTTTTTTTTGTTTAGTAATCAATACTGCATTTTTATTTGTGATAAGACTTGGTGCTTACATAGAATATTTTATTTTTCATTTTTCTTTTCGTCTATTTCCGTTCAATCTATGTTTTAGTAAAATTTCTTTGTCATTAGCGGAAAAAGTACGATATTTCTTTAGTATGATATCATAAAAATAATGAGTTGTTTTTTCATATTTGAAAGATCAAAAAAAGATGTGAAGTTTTAAAAAAATACAAAATTTTTTAAAATTCTCTTGTTTTTTAAATGTTATCTTTTTCTATGACTGTTAGGAACAACTTAAGAAAATCTTATTTTTATTATGTAAAATTAATGAATTATTTCAGTTACTTCTCTAACAATGAAAATTCCTCTAGGTTTATTAGTTGTATTCAAAAATGTCAAGATAAAGTGATCACTGTAGTTCTCATATTCATTATTTTCTCAAATTTGAAATATACACTTCTGTATATTTTTCTTATTTCATTCTATGTATGATGAGTAAATATTTAAATCAGTAATCATACTTACCTATGCATAATTTATCCTTTTGAACCGTATTTGATTATAGAAAACTGATTATCTTAGTTACAGCCCTCAATACAACGATTAGAAAATGTTTTCATTGATTGAATTTTCTTGGATATGGCTTATAACAGAAAAATAACAAATATATGAATTCGTAGTAATTACTAAGTTCATGATTTGTCTTACATACATGAGCATTAATGTTTCAAATCAGAAATATCTTGAAAAGAATGTTTTCTTACAAGGGAAAGCTTGGAACTAATCCACGCCGTTTTCAATAATATTTTCCATATTTCGAGAAGAGACCAATCTTTTTGAAAAAACATTTTTAAAATATTCTAGTCCATTCAAAAGCTGTCTATAGACAAAGTTTTTAAGCCAAAGTTCCATCGTCCAATTTTTAAAATAGATATCGTGCCAATGATAAAAAAAACTCACTGCAACGATCCTACTTTCAAAAAGACAATACATAACAAAGAATCCTTTTAAGTTCCTTCTAGTTTCGACAGAAACTAAATTATGAATAGGTCTCATTTCAAACGAAAAAAAAAATAATTAAATACTAAATTCAGTGCTTATCTTTTTGATCAAACATAAAGTTTATCCTATGAAGTATTATCAACAGAAATCAGTAATTTTGTTATTTTCGTAATTATAACTTTAATTTGTTTTATATCATATTCGGACATCATTTTATTCTATATTACAGCCTATTATTCTTGAAGCTGGTTATTTTATGCCAAATCGTCCATTTTTTGATAATCTTGGTACGATATTATTATTGGCTATAGTTAATACATTATTTAATACAATATGTATTGGTCTTACATTATGGGGTTTTCAATTTACACCAATATATGGTGGTACTACATTTGGAATGTTACCTTGTCTTGTTTTTGCTGCACTTATATCAGCTGTTGATCCTGTTGCTGTTTTAGCGACATTTACTGAAATACATGTTAATGATATGTTATATATTGTTGTATTTGGCGAATCTTTACTTAATGATGCTGTATCAGTTGTTCTATATCGAATGTTTGATTCATTTGCTAAAATTGGTCAAGAAAACATCATTGCAATGGATATTGTATTGGGTGTTTTATCATTTTTTGTTGTTGCACTCGGTGGTGTTTTAATTGGTATTATATTTGGAGTTATTGCATGTTTTACAACGAAATTTACGGAACATACACCGGTTCTTGAACCACTTATTATTCTTGTTTATGCTTATTTAGCTTATCTTACGTCAGAAATGGTGTCAGTATCTGGCATCTTAGCGTAAGTTGATTATTTTATATTTATCAAATAAAATTCTTATCAAAAATGTCTAGTCTAACATTTTGTGGTATGGTAATGAAACAATATGTATCATTTAATATTTCAAAAAAATCTGATGCAACAACAGAATATGTACTTAAAATGTTATCATCTATAATGGAAACCATTATATTTATGTTTATGGGTTTATCAACAGTTAGTGATAATCATTCATGGAATACAGGTTTCGTTCTTATGACACTATTTCTTTGTCTTCTCTATCGAGTTATTGGTATGAATCTAAGAATAAACTTATATATATATATATATATATATACATGATAACAAAACAAAATTAATATTCCGTTGTTGTTTTTAGGAATTGCAATATTTGCTAATTTAGCTAATTGTTGGCGTTTACTTGAATTAACACGTATTGATATGTTGATTATGTCATATGGTGGTTTACGTGGTGCTATTGCTTTTGCTCTAGCACTTATTCTTGATGAAACAAAAATCGAACGAAAAAAAGAATTTGTTACAGCAACAATAGCTGTTGTCTTTTTTACGGTTTTTATACAAGTAAAATTGAAAACAAAAAAAAAAAAAAGAGAACTAATTAATTTATTAAAATCATATAATATATATCCTAAATAGGGTATTACAATTGGTCCATTGGTTAAATTGCTTAATGTAAGACGAAAACAAGTTGAAGAACCAACTATGTCGGCTAAATTAACAAATCGTGTAAAATAAAATTATATTAATTAGTTTTATTTCATTAATTTTCTTTTATCTTTTTTTCTCTCTTTATAATTTAAAGATGATGGATCATGTCATGACTTGTCTAGAAGAAATTTCTGGTAGTGGTGGAAGTAATTCATTACGTGATAAGTAAGAAATAATAAAATATTATTATAAACAAAAAGTTTCTTTTAATAATTTTCTAGATGTCGAAATCTTGATCGAAATTATTTTAAACGTTGGTTATTACGTGAAACACCACAAGAAAGAATGGATATTAAATTATTACAAACATTTAAAAATATTAATGTACGATCAGCTATGAAAGTTCATGATACATCTAAAGGATTGGTACCAGCTACAACTTCATTAGCTATGCAAAAATCACCATCGGAAAATAATTTTAGACCTGAACGAAGAATTCTAAATGTTTCAGAACTTGTTACTGCCAAGTTTGTTCAATTTCATTTTAATAATTTCAATCTATTTTCTTCTTATTAGTAATCTTCCAGAACGTCCTGTACCAGATTTAATGCTTTTTGGAAATCATGGCGCTGAACATCATCAGGATGATGCAGAAATGCATCATTTTCTTGATACAAATCTTCATCATGCGAGACGAAGAGTAAGAAAATTTAAATAATATCTACATATTTCTTTCTATCCCC